TCTACACTGTCCAGTCTAAAAGCTCTTCAGACAGAGTCTCTGAGTTCAGTGCAGTGACTCTGCTGGATGACAGACAGATTGACTCCTACAGCAGTACAGACGGGGTCAGGACTCCTAAACAGGCCTGGATGAAGGAGATGAAGGAGAGTGAGTGGAAAGAAGGCGCTGATAAACTGAAGTACGATGGACATCATTTAAACAAGATCCTCGACATACAGACGAAGGCCTTCAGACACGATGAGTCAGGTGAGAACCTTTTATTTTTCATGCAGAGGAGAACGTTAGATGTACAATTATATTCTGCTTAGATGATCATTTAAATGATTCAGCTCAATGCCGAGTTCAGGACGCAGTGAAATATCAGATATATCCACACTTTAACAAGTCAATTCTTTTTTTCTTGGACATGAACCTTCAGAGGAATCCTGTCTGACCAGGCATGTCCAATTTGACTAATTCTGATATTTGAGTATGTGTAAGAGATTACAAACAGATGTTCAGCTAACTGTGTGGAGGAAAAAGTGAAGATAAACAAACCTTTGGACTAAAAGCTGCAGTGTTGGACACAGCTTAGGTTTTGTATTAGATGTGTAATGTAGGCTGCCTCTTCAGATGAGCTAATGCTAACACTTCAGCTAACCGGGACACTGCATGCTGAAAAGAACTTCTTATCTTCTCCATGAGGTGTTTTTTTTTTTCTCAGTGGACGACGCACCAAAAAGTCTGTCAGAGAAATGTATTTTCACTGTTTCTGTAAGGAGCCAACATCAGCTAGAGTAGTTAGCCTAGTCAACAATGAAGCCACATCAGAGCCAGCCACACTCACAAAGTGTGATATAATGTACACGCCTTACAAACACAAGTAAAACAGTCACATTCTCCTGATAAAACATAAAAAAGTCAGTGTTTGATGATGTTCAGTGAATTATGACTGTCTCTGTTCTTCATTTACATTTAAGAAAATCACTCTGCACTGGAGAGTCGGCTGTGAGGTTGAAAAGCATTCAGACGGCTCAATGTCAGTGTTAAACTGTATTAATGAATACGGCTATGATGGACAGAACTTAATCTCTTATAACTGGACCTCGAAGAGATGGTCAGCCTTAGTCAGTCAGGCTAAAGTGTTGGAGGAGGAGTGGAACACTGGACCTGTTGATCAGAGATGTGAAGACTGTGTGCACTGGCTGAAGAAGTATTTGTGCTATAATTCTACTGAAGCCAAACACAGTGAGTATTTGGTTTACCCAGACTCTGTTATTAACTTCTCATCCATGTCATCCAGACAGAACTATGCAGGCACATCCTCATTGTGATGGAGAGTTGCTTTTGCCCGATTGGTCAGCGCTGCATGTAATTTGTATAAAGTTGAAGTCAGCTCAGCTTTTCACATATAATGTTTGCACTGCTTGCTATCCCACAACCCCTCACTAATTTTTTACTGACTCCACATTTTTAATTTTTGGGAAATTTCCGATGCCAAATTCACTTGCAGTGCACGTGTCCTGTGAGAGCTTGAAAAAGGCCCAAAATCAGGAGTCTCACGCCTGATTTGACCTCATGAGAGTTGGCAATCCTATTATTATTAGTAGTAATAACCTTAAACTGTGTGATTATTTGGATATTTGCCATGATCAGAGTAATAATTATAAAGCAGTAGTAATAGGAGTGTAATTATTTTTCAAATATCAGCTTTCTTTGTACTCAGACACACTGCAGTAAATTAATAAATATAAATACAGCATTGAAGGGGAATTAAATTTTTCTCCATAACTCAGTGTGTGAGGTGTAGAGAGAGAGATTCAGAGTGGTTTGGTGTGAAATGGTTCAGATGTGATGGGAACCAGGGGTCGCCATGACTACAACACAAATATAGACAGTTTATTTACTATCCAGAACCACCAGTGAACCTACACGAGTCTTCTGAGTTTATATGGAACGTTGATGATGGAAAAACAGTGATAAATTTGAGGAGGGAGCTGTAAGGGAGCTTTTAGGGGTGTTAAAGTCTTTAAAAAATGATATGGAACCACTGTGAATAACTTCTGAATAACTTCTGAATAACTTGTTTACATCTTAACCATTTAATTATGTATGAATTACGTACAACACATTCATCAAAGATTCATATATTTCTGTGTCAGTATATGTAACTTCAAAAGCTGAGCGATGCTTTTTGGTATTTTTTGGCTATTTTTAGTTTTGATAAAGAACTGAAATCTGTTGAATATTAAATTGTGCATTTACACTTATTCTCTCTGTAGCTCCACCAGATGTTCATGTGTTTGCAAAGAAATCTGTTACTGACTCAAAGAAGCTGAACCTGACCTGCCTGGCCACGGGCTTCTACCCCAAAGACATGGAGATTAAACTGAGGAAGTTCACCACTTCACTGCCTGAACATCTACTGAGATCTTCAGGAGTCAGACCCAATGATGATGGAACCTACCAGCTGAGGAAGAGTGTGGAGATCCAGGAGGAGGAAGCAGCAGATTATGACTGTTATGTGAATCACAGCTCCATCAACACACCAGTAATTAAACAATGGGGTAAGTATATTTGTGTTTATCCACATTCATGGCTGAGTGTAAACTATTCCAGAGGAAATTCTAGCCCTCTAAATTTATTGCAGTTAAGTTTGTATAATGCAGCTTTTAACTCTATTTAGCAGCGGTAATTTCGCAGATGAACAGGGACTAAAATATGACACTTCTTGTGGTAAACTTAAAAGAGGTGAACCGAAAAACCTTTGCCCAGTTTAATCAACACCAGGATCTGGATTCAATGGAAAATGCAACATTTGCTACTTTATTATTTTAAAAACATCTCCTGTGAGCTCCTGAGTGGTGCGACCATCTAAGCATTGATCCCTGTCATCAGGAGATCGATCCCCAGTGATGTCATCCGTAACCATCCTTAGCCAGGAGTCCAAGAGAAAAGAGAGAGAATCCATAGTTCAAAATGATGGTGGCCAGTGTGGGTGTTTGTTTGTGTTCTCCGCATTCGAAAGGATGCAGTGGCTTCACATGATTCTGAGGAACCATGCGCTGGCCTGCACCCTCCCAGCACTGGGAGCATCGTGTGATTGAGGGAGATTAGTTAAAAATTAGTTGTCAAATATACTTTAACCACGTCTGAAATGTGGAGTTATACATTCCCTGGGTGAGTGGAGCGACCGGCGATCTGTTCTCCTGTGAGCGAGTCTGAGTGACGAGGTCAGTGGTGTAACTGTACTGTCCTACAGTGAACTCACCTCTTTCTGTACATCCTAACAGCTTTAGCAGCGTTAAATCATGTCTGCTCCACACAACTACAGCACTGTTACAGCGCCCAGTCATATTTTAGTATTAGTGCTTTCCAGAGCAACGAAAGTTAATGAAGTGGTTGATGTGAGTTACAGCCCTGATTTAAACGAAAGTAAACTGAGGAAGCTGTGAGGCAGTGGAGAGCGGGAGAGCGCTATCTTTCCAGGCTAGGTGTTTTTAGCAGCTGGCTAACTTGAAGCAGCTCCATCACTCGCACAACACGACGAATTGATGTTACTATAGATCAAAGATGTTACTGTAGATTAAACATGTTACTGTAGATCACCGATTTCAGTTTAAATTGAATATCTGATATCAAAATAGTAAATTCACTAAATGATGTCGGAACTATTCCACAAATCTGTACTAGATAAACAAAAGTGGTCAGAATTTGGAGGTTGATTTGAAGGGGCAGTTTCCACAGGATGAAGCTTTTCTGGAGGTGAATTTCTGTAGTTTAATAGGCCAAATCATTTTCCTCCAAATATAAATGATAGAAGAGGAGGCCACAATTTAGAATCACATCATTCTGCTATCAGTTAAGCTGAGGATTTTTTATTTGTGTGCAGATGGAAAATGCAGTGACTGCCAGAGTCGTCTGATTGTAGGAGTGATGTGCTTTTTGCTGGTCATGCTGGTTGGGGTCATCTTCTTTTTTCTGAAAAAGAAGGGGATCATTGGTGAGTATAGACTATATCAATACAGGTTTTGTGTAAAGTAGAAATATTAAAGATATTATAAATACACCATCATGTACTCTGCTCGTGTACTGAATGAGTGGTGTTGCTGAGGTTTCCAGCTGTTTGTGACAATCTGAAGTGATTCTCTAGGTTGGGAGCTCGATCAGAAGCGAATGATGGCACAGATGATCTGCTAGTGTGTAAATCCTTTGTTTTCTTATTGAGCTCTGGAGTGATTGAAGGCCTTCTGATATTTTCAAACATGTTTTATTTGTATGACTCTAAACATTCATGAGTCCTGTAGTCTGAGATGGTCAGTGTCGTAACTGAATGAGTGATTCAACCAATAAGAGCTAGGACATTAAAATATACAGTGGATCACAGAGATGGAGGAGCTGCTTGTTGAATACTGATAAATGTGCGAGAGCTTTTATAACCTTGGTCCTTCTATAATAACCAGAACTTCAACACATCACTTTACAGTTTCAGTTCATAGTAAAATGATTTATTACTACATATTCATCAACACTGCTGTTCTCTGGAGCTCATACAGCCCAAACAAGCTTAGTCTCAGCTCTGATACACCAACAAAAGAAATTCTGTGAAAGACCGATGTTTAGTCTGAGACAGTTGGTTTTGAAATATGCCTTATTACAGGTTAGGGATTTAGGAAGTTGTGTAGAGTTCATCCAGCTGAGTCGTATGAGAGCTGCAGTCTGCAGTGATTTCTGCCTGTGACTTTTATTCTCTATGAAATAGATTCAGGTTTGTGGATGTATATTCATAAATGAATCGATGAATTGATGAAGTCAATAAATTAACTTCTTGCTTTCAGGTAAAAGAGACAATCATCATCCAAATGTAATCTTCAGCAACGGTAAGTAGTTTATCACTGTGGGTTTAAAAGGTTAATGTTTGAGGATCAAAATATTCTCTGCATAATTTTGTCAAAAATGTCTAAACATAAAAGCAGCAATAAATAAATGTATTTATTTAATTTACATGGATTCATTTTTAATCCTCCATAGGAAGCTGCTGTACAGAGTTAATGCTGTTCTGCTCTCACGGTGTGTTCAGGTTTCTCTAAGAGTGTTTATCACACAGCAAAGAGACCCCTAAACCACACTGCTCAGAGAAACCAGAACACACTGTGAGAGCAGAACAACATTAACTCTGTACAGTGTCTCACTCTGGAAGGTTAAACAATGAATTAACCCTAAACATTACAAATGATCTTTCAGTTCAGCGTCCATATAAATACAGACTTAGCTACACTAACCAGTACTCACAACACAAACAACATCATGTTTACAACATTCTCTAATGCTTTGATAAATATGAGCTACATAAAGTACATTATATAAACATTTCAGACATTTAGTAATGCTGTAAAACTGCTTCGGTACAATATGAACAGATTGTTCTGGTGTTTAAATTATTGATGTTTCCTAAGTTTATGTTCAGAATCTCACCTGAATCATATTATTACTGGGCTTCACCCAGCAGAATAATGAACAACACACTGTTTTATCATGAGTCACTCCACAGAGTTTGCAGACTGATTTCTGCTAATTCTCCAACTCGTTCTTTCTTTAGAAACTATGTAATAATCTGCTGAAGAGCATGTTTAGTGTAGTAAGATCAACTCGACTCAGGTCAATGACAGAATTCTCCACTTAAGTTATCAAAACACAGCGTCATCTTTCTGTGCAAACTATGGAAGCTTCATGTTCAGAGTGATAAGTGGAGACTGTTCAGGCACAGTAGATCAGGTGAGCAGTCTGAGTTCTGCATGACAAAATCATAAAACAGGTGAACTTGGTAGAAGAAGCCCCCCAGACCAAGACCCCCTCTCCTACTTTCTCTCCTGATGAAATAATGGGTCCAAATCTAAACTCCACACATTTAATGAATATCTATTCATCTTTATCTCTGCATTTCTGAGATTTATTCACCTGGAAACTTTTGAAAATCTGGTCATTATATAATTGTGATCTATGTGTTATCAATGTAATATATATTAATGTGTGTATATTATATTAAAAGGTGCACAAATATAGGATTTGGGAGTAATTAGTATTTTTGGTTTTGAGAGAAAAAAATGTACATCATCCTGTACATGATAAACTCAGACACACATTATTAATAAACTTTGTTTTTGAGCTTTACTTATTAAAAACTCCAGTGAACAGAAATATAAAATTCTTTGTGTGAATCAGTGCAGTGGGTTAATGGGTTAATCTCCTTCTCCTTCTCCTCCTCTACTCGTTCTAATCCCTATTTATCTGAACTCTCCTCCAGAGTCTACAGCTGCTGGTTCTGATGCTGACTCAGATCATAATATTATTCCAACATCTGAGATTTGTGATTAAGAATATCTGTCTGCTGTAAATCAGCTGTGATGTGACCTTACTGACTCTTTTTCAGGAAGGGAATCTACTTGTCTATCAAACTGGAGCAGCACTGAAAATGTTAATGTGAACATTAATCTGACTGGTAAGGAATCTGCATTGTCGGGACCCAGTTTACTTTGGGTTCTAATGGTGATTTATTGTGTATTGTTGGTAAATATCTGTAGTTTCTTTGTGAAAACACACTATAAGAGTATCAGAGGATACTACAGAGTCTTTTACACAGCAGAACTTTGGGGACTCTTGATCTTTATTTCAGATTCTCAGAGAATCAACTGCCCCGTATATTTACTTTAACGCGTCCATAAATATGTTGCTTTTCAGGTTCCTGAAGCTGTGGGTCAACAGTTTAAACTCGTGCAGAACAAATGATCGTAAGTAAAAGTGGACTTGTGGTTGAGAACATGCAGTAGAAATAATCTGTCTGCCTGAAGTTTCCTCTTCCAACTGAACAGAGAGAATAACTGATAATATTTCTGCTGATGATCGTTTCCCATAATTATCAGCACTTTATTCTCTCACAGGCTTTAAGACACAGTTAACACCAAACACGCACTGTGTCTCCATCAGTGAGCGTGGAAGACTAATAATTTACTCAAACACAGTGAAACTCATCACACAGGTTCTTTTCTCTGTCCTGTTCTCTGACTAATATTACAGCTGTGACTTAAGTAATGTTTATTTTCTATTATTTGAATTCTACGCTTATTTTTTGGACAAGAAGACCAGCAAGTCCATTTTTCTGGCTTGAGGTTTGAACACTGACCATAGTGTTCCAGACTGAGTGCGTTTATCTGCACCCAGTAATCCGATCATAATCAGATTTCTGCAGTTATCTGCAGTTATTCAAATGGTCATGTAAACACCATACTCCAGTCTAGAAATCTGATTAAGAAATCTGATTAAAAGGCTGGATTTTAGCTCAGTAATCAGATTTCTCAGTGCTGCAAACTCTTGCTCTGATTTCTTTCGTATTTCTCAGTCTGAGCATGTGTGAAAATAGACAGCAGTGCCGGAAATAAGTGAGCAGCGTTGCCGCGAGACGCAGCAAAACACTTTTGAAGTGACGCTGAAAACAAAAATATATGCTTGATGAAATGAAGAATTTAAATTTTCTGCATCTTCTAGATGATGTATGTTCATATTTTCAGGTAAAGTGGTGCAATGTGTTTTAAAAAAGCCGCATCATGAAGTTTGAGTTTTGTTTATTATGTTTACATCACGTCTTCTTCTGTGAGTTTATTTGCTGGTTGTTAAGCAGAAATCTGATTACTGTCTGACTCATGTAGACCTGGAGTTTTCCCATTATCTGATTACTCAAGTGCATGTAAACATGTTGATCAGATTAGTGACAAAATCTGATTTTCTGCAGTTATCGGATTATTAAGTGCATGTGAACACACTCACTGTCAGTTAGGTGTGGGTGTGATGTCACAGTGTGTGGTTGCTGCTTCTGATTGGTCTAATCATCTACGGACAACAAGTTTAACAGGACAAATGTGTTAAACTTGGTAAGGCAATGTTATTGATAATGTAGGCTACAATTGCAGCTCTTGTTTATTTCAGATTGCGATTTTAATATAAAAACAATTCTTCCTCTACTTCATCTTCTTGTTGTTGTTGTTGTTGTTGTTGTTGTTATCATCTTTCACTCCTAGGTCAAAGCACCTTTGTAAAAATGAGATCTCAACCCGACAGAGTAGAATGTCATTTTCTACCCATTTCCAAACCAAATTCTCTTTACTACCCCGCTCCTTTACTACAAAAGCTGAAAGCCCACTGTGTCAGTATGATTTAGCCTGGGATAATTATTACATTATAAAAATTTTTTAAAAATTACATTTGCTGTTGTTTTTACTTGTCTCTGTACGTCTCAGCTGTCTGAATTTCACTCTGTTATGCTTTAACTCAGTTATGTTGTCATCATTAGGCAAATGTGGCTGAGTGGACGTATGTTTTATAGTGAAGTGATGTGTTGGTTGTTTGTGTGAAACCAGCTTTTTGGTGAATTGCTGTTGCTTTGTTTCTCCATAAGAGGGCGTAAGTGTTAAATAAGCAGGGTGATGACTGCACTGCTTTCAGTAACAGACTCTAGTCTGATGTTATGATATTGTGGGACATTAACACATTTGGAAATTGTGTCTATCTAATTGGTCACTTTTCCCAGCCCTACACAAAACACAGCGACAGGAAAACTAGAAAGAAAAACTATCAGGACGTCACCTGCAATAATGAGAACAAAATCACCGTCAGCCCAGTTAGATCTGAAATGGAAGACCTTTATTTACAAAGATGAAAAGATCACAGTTATGATGTGAAAGTTGTTTATTAGTATCACTCTGTTATTATTTTTCTTTTAGATTAACCTTTATTCCTCTCTCTCTCTCTCTCTCTTTCTCTCTCTCTCTCTCTCCCCACCTTCATCCAGGCTCTCCTCCACAGGTAACTGACTGACTATTTAAGTAGGCATCGTCATCATAAAGGCTGTTTTTGTCAACTTTGACGTCAACATAACATGTTGATCCACATGCTGATCAGCTCTGTGGATGAATGTAGTGATGCCATGAGACCCTCAGGCTGAATCTAGAAAAAGAATTCTACTATTTGGAATGATGATGATTTTTTGTTGTTACTGGTGATGTTTACTGATTATTATACTGATGGTGGTGTTTGTAATAATTATGTATGCACCGATCCAGCTTTTTCTCTCCTGATACGGATTTCTTTTTTTTTAAATTTAAAGTCTGTTAACCTGTAATGTTCCGTTCCTACTGAAGAGTTCTTCTATTTTAAGAAATTTTAGTAGTTAAAGGTTTTTAAAATGAGTCACACTGAACAGGTATTTCATATTCAACCAAATTCTTCTAACTTAGAAGTTTTTTCAGATTTATTTTACAAAATCTGAGTATATTAGACATCTTCACTGTCAAATTACTTGCATTAAATTGATAAAAGTGTAAAAATCTGAAATACAACCATTTCCAAAAACGTTGGGATGCTGTGCAGAATGTAAATAAAAACAAAATGCAATTATATGCAAATCATTTAAAACCTATATTTACTCTAAAATAGTACAAGTCAATATTTCAAATGCTTAATGCGTAAATTTCAGCTGCTCAGCAGTTCAGGGTCTCATTTGGCATATTTTTCATGCGCCAAATGTTTTCAGTGGTGACAGGTTTGGACTGCAGGCAGGTCAGTTTAGCACCCAGACTTCTTACAATGGTGGAATGCTGTTGTAATACATGTAGAATGTGGGTTGACATTGTCTTGCTGAAATAATCAAGGCCTTCCCTGAAAAAGACGTCGTCTGGATGGCAGCATATGTTGCCAAAACCTGTATATATCGTTCAGCATTAATGGTGCCTTCACAGATGTGCACGTCACCCATGCCATGTGCACTAATGCACCCCTATACCATCATGAATACTGGCTTTTGAACTGCGCACTGATAACAAGCTGAGTGGTCTTTAGCCCGGAGGACACAGTGTCCATGATTTCCAAAAAGAATTTCAAATGTTGATTCATCGGGCCACAGGACACTTTTCCACTTCCCCTCAGTGCATTTTAAATGAGCTTAGGCCCAGAGAAGGTGGCAGCATTTCTGGATTCTGTTTGTATATGATTTCTTCTTGAATGGTAGAGTTTTAGCTGGCCTTTGAACTGTGATGAACTGTTTTCACAGTGGTTTTGGGAAGTGTTTCTGAGCCCGTGCAGTGATTCCCACTACAGAATTGTGTTTGTGAGGGCCCAAAGATCACAGCCAGCCAATGTTAGTTTTCAGCCTTGTCCCTTACTTACAGAGAGTTCTCTGGATTCTCTGAATCTTTTAACAACATTATGTTCTATTTGCTCACTCAGTCTTTCACAGAGTGGTGAACTCCTCCTCATCTTTACTTCTGAAAGATTCTTTTTATACCCATTTATGTTACTGATATGTTGCCAATTAACCTAATTAGTTGTAAGATGTTCCACCTGTTATTTTCTTTTAGCATTACACAACTTCACCAGTCTTTAGTTGCCCTGTCCCAACTTTTTTGGAACGTGTGACGTCAAAAAAATGGCCAAATATTTTTTAAAAAACAATAAAATTTCTCAGTTTAAACATTTGATAATTATCTTGTCTATCATCGTATTCTGTTTGTATTTACATTTTGCACAGCGTCCCAACTTTTTTGGAAACAGGGTTGGAAGTATTCGCTGGCAAAGTTGATGTGAGGCACAAAAAGCCCACCTGCACAGGGATTTTATTCTCCCGCACTGTCGCTCTTTATTTTGACACACTGCGGTGCTTTAACAAACAGTGTTCCTGTAATATGGTACATAATCATAAACATTAGCTGTAAGTAGAGCATATAGGTCCATTAATAAGATGTGTGTCGTGTTTTGACCTTGGTACATAAGAAAGGGACTTTTATTCTTCCACAAAGGGGGATTTGTTTTTTCTTGAACTTGAAAAACACTGAGCTCAGTTTGCTGTGAGAGGGAGCTGTACTGTACATTACTATGCAATATAGAATTACTATATAAAACTTTTTTACAAATAGAAACATAGAAAAAGATTAGTATTTTGACACTAAAGTCATTTTTTAAATCTTTTAAAAAAGCTACAAATTCAAAAACCCTTAAAACGTTAAGAATTTGCAAAGATTTGAATATGAAACGATATTCAATAATAAGGTTAATCCGATTTGTTTTTGCTTATTTTTACTTTTTTTTGTTTTTTTTACATATTTTGGGTTTATTGTCTTGGTAATGTATTTGTGTGTTCAAGTGAACATATATATACCATGTATGACGTTAGCAAATATGATTTTCAATTATGCTGTTATACTGTTTTTATACTGTAAAAATACATTATGCGAATATTTCATGATGAGTTAATAGAAACGCTCTAAAATCAAAATCTTTACAGTATTTTACATGTTAAGAGCGTTTTAGTCGTCTTCTGTGATGTTACTGTTGTTTTGATGATGTGTTTTGTTTGTTTGTTTGTTTTTGTATTAGCCAGTGGGTAATTCTTTGTGTCTCTGGTTTTGTATGAAGGTTAATGTACTTTTTAATCTAAACAGGATCTTTAAACTTGAACCTGAAGTTAAACTGTTGCTCAGTGATTGTTTTGGGTAAATGTTTGACAGTTTAACTGCAGTCCTGCCTTAATCCAGTCTGGAGTCACACTAAATCCGCCTCTCTGTACTGTGTTTGGGGGTTTATATGGTGCGTATTTGTCTGTATATGAAGCTGAAGTGACTGATTTCTTTGCTGATCTGTGTCTTTATTGTGTTTCTATCTGAGCTGAAGCTAAACTCAGAGTCATTAGTCTTTATTGACAGTGCAGACCAAAGTGTCCTGATGTGGACAGTTAGGTAACCAGAACTCTCTGGTTTATGAAATAGAAATAAAAAGACAGAGAAAATGCAGGAAAATATCAGCAATGTGTGCAAAACAGGTATCGATGTACTGTTTTAATGTATTGTTTACACTACATATATTCAAATATGTGAGCAAACAAAATAAAGAAATCTACATTCTACACATCTACATCTGACACTTCATTGTCATTTTCTACACACTAAGAGCTTTTAAAACCCTGAGGAAAAACAGCACAGACCAGCGTGCTGGTTTAACTGATTTATGCTGGTCTGGTGCTGGTTTAGCTGGTCCACCCAGCTTGGTCATGATGGTTGACCGGCACACCAGCATCGAAAAAAAACAACATATGCTGGTTTTGCTGGTGACCATCCATGACGGTCTCTGCTGTTTTTTAGCAGTACAGGCTTTACACTTGTATGCATTTGTATTAATAATCAGTAACTGATTTTCATGACAACGGATTGTAAAAACATATTCAAAATATATAGTAAAGCTAACCAGTCAGCACTCAGTAGCAGTAATGCTAACCGATCAGCCCTCAGTAGCAGTAATGCTAACCAATCAGCCCTCAGTAGCATTAATGCCAACCAATCAGCACTCAGTAGCAGTAATGCTAACCAATCAGCACTCAGTAACAGTAATGTTAACCACTCAGAACTCAGTAGCAGTAATGCTAACCAATCAGTGCTCAGTAGCAGTAATGCTAACCAATCAGCGCTCAGTAGCAGTAATGCTAACCAATCAGCGCTCAGTAGCAGTAATGCTAACCAATCAGCACTCAGTAGCAGTAATGCTAACAAATCAGCACTCAGTAGCAGTAATGCTAACCAATCAGTACTCAGTAGCAGTAATGCTAACCAATCAATGCTCAGTAGCAGTAATGCTAACCAATCAGCACTCAGTAGCAGTAATGCTAACCAATCAGCACTCAGTAGCAGTAATGCTAACCAATCAATGCTCAGTAGCAGTATACTAACCATCAGCACTCAGTAGCTTTAATGCTAACAAATCAGTGCTCAGTAGCAGTAATGCTAACCAATCAGCACTCAGTAGCAGTAATGCTAACCAATCAGTGCTCAGTAGTGTTAATGCTAACAAATCAGCGCTCAGTAGCAGTAATGCTAACCATCAGCACTCAGTAGCAGTAATGCTAACCAGTCAGCCCTCAGTAACCAATCAGCACTCAGTAGCGTTAATGCTAACAAATCAGCACTCAGTAGCGTTAATGCTAACAAATCAGCGCTATGTAGCAGTAATGTTAACCAATCCGCACTCAGTAGCAGTAATGTTAATCAGTCAGCACTCAGTAGCAGTAATGATAACCAATCACAACTGAGTAGCAGTAATGCTAACCAATCAGCACTCAGTAGTGTTAATGCTAACCAATCAGCGCTCAGTAGCAGTAATGCTAACCAGTCAGCACTCAGTAGCAGTAACGTTAACCAATCAGCACTTAGTAGCAGTAATGCTAACAATCAGCTCTCAGTAGCAGTAATGCTAACCAATCAGCCCTCAGTAGCATTAATGCCAACCAATCAGCTCTCAGTAGCAGTAATGTTAACCAGTCAGCACTCAGTAGCTTTAATGCTAACAAATCAGTGCTCACTAGCAGTAACGCTAACCAATCAGTGCTCAGTAGCAGTAATGCTAACCAATCAGTGCTCAGTAGCAGTAATGTCAACCAATCAGTGCTCGGTAGCAGTAATGCTAACAAATCAGCACTTAGTAGCAGTAGTGCTAACCAATCAGCACTCACTAGCAGTAATGCCAAACAATCAATGCTCAGTAGCAGTATACTAACCAATCAGCACTCAGTAGCGTTAATGCTAAGAAATCAGCGCTCAGTAGCAGTAATGCTAACCAATCAGCACTCACTAGCAGTAATGCCAACCAATCAATGCTCAGTAGCAGTATACTAACCAATCAGCACTCAGTAGCTTTAATGCTAACCAATTAGCACTCAGTAGCAGTAATGCTAACCAATCAGTGCTCAGTAGCAGTAATGCTAACCAATCAGTGCTCGGTAGCAGTAATGCTAACAAATCAGCACTCAGTAGCAGTAGTGCTAACCAATCAGCACTCACTAGTAGTAATGCCAACCAATCAATGCTCAGTAGCAGTATACTAACCAATCAGCACTCAGTAGCTTTAATGCTAACAGATCAGTGCTCAGTAGCAGTAATGCTAACCAATCAGCACTCAGTAGCAGTAATGCTAACCAGGCAGCACTCACTAGCAGCAATGTTAACCAATCAGCACTCAGTAGCAGTAATGTTAATCAGTCAGCACTCAGTAGCAGTAATGCTAACCAATCAGTGCTCGGTAGCAGTAATGCTAACAAATCACAACTGAGTAGCAGTAATGCTAACCAATCCGCACTCAGTAGTGTTAATGCTAACAAATCAGCGCTCAGTAGCAGTAATGCTAACCAGTCAGCACTCACTAGCAGTAATGTTAACCAATCAGCACTTAGTAGCAGTAATGCTAACAATCAGCTCTAAGTAGCAGTAATGCTAACCAATCAGCCCTCAGTAGCAGTAATGCTAACCAATCAGCGCTCACTAGCAGTAATGTTAACCAATCAGCACTCAGTAGCTTTAATGCTAACCAATCAGTGCTCAGTAGCAGTAATGCTAACCAATCAGTGCTCAGTAGCAGTAATGCTAACCAATCAGTGCTCGGTAGCAGTAGTGCTAACCAATCAGCACTCACTAGCAGTAATGCCAACCAATCAATGCTCAGTAGCAGTATACTAACCAATCAGCACTCAGTAGCGTTAATGCTAACAAATCAGTGCTCAGTAGCAGTAATGCTAACAAATCAGCACTCAGTAGCAGTAATGCTAACCAATCAGTGCTCAGTAGCAGTAATGCTAACCAATCAGCCCTCAGTAACCAATCAGCACTCAGTAGCATTAATGCTAACCAATCAGTGCTAAGTAGCAGTAATGCTAACCAGTCAGTGCTCAGTAGCAGTAATGTTAACCAGTCAGCGCTCAGTAGCAATAATGTTAACCAATCAGCGCTCAGTAGCAGTAATGCTAACCAGTCAGCTCTCAGTAGCAGTAATGCTAACCAATCAGCCCTCAGTAGCAGTAATGCTAACCAATCAGCGCTCAGTAGCAGTAATGCTAACCATTCTGAAATTTAATTCTACACGTCCTCTGAAATTTAAATCTACAAGTTCTCTGAAATTTAAGTCTACAGGTTTTCTGAAATTTAAATCTACAAGTTCTCTGAAATTTAAGTCTGCAAGTTCTCTGAAGTTTAAGTCTGCAAGTTCTCTGAAATTTAAATCTACAAGTTCTCTGAAATTTAAGTCTACAAGTTCTCTGAAGTTTAAGTCTGCAAGTTCTCTGAAATTTAAGTCTGCAAGTTCTCTGAAGTTTAAGTCTGCAAGTTCTCTGAAATTTAAATCTACAAGTTCTCTGAAATTTAAGTCTACAAGTTCTCTGAAGTTTAACTCTGCAAGTTCTCTGAAATTTAAGTCTACAAGTTCTCTGAAATTTACATCTACAAGTTCTCTAAAGTTTAAGCCTACAAGTTCTCTGAAGTTTAAGTCTACAAGTTCTCTAAAGTTTAAATCTACAGGTTCTCTGAAATTTCAGTCTACAAATTCCCTGAAGTTTAAATCTTTAAGTTTTCTAAAGTTTAAATCTGCAAGTTCTCTGAAATTTAAATCCACAAGTTCTCTAAAGTTTAAGTCTACATGTTCTCTGAAATTCAAGTCTGCAAGTTCTCTGAAATTTACATCTACAAGATGTCTGAAGTTTAACTCTACAAGTTCTCTGAAATTTCAGTCTACAAATTCCCTGAAATTTAAATCTACAAGTTCTCTGAAGTTTAAATCTACAAGTTCTCTGAAGTTTCAGTCTACAAATTCCCTGACGTTTAAATCTACAAGTTCTCTAAAATTTAAATCTACAAGTTCTCTAAAGTTTAAACCTACAAGTTCTCTAAAGTTTAAATCTACAAGTTCTCTGAAATTTAAGTCTACAAGTTCTCTAAAGTTTAAATCTACAAGTTCTCTGAAGTTTAAGTCTACAAGTTCTCTTAAGTTTATATCTACAAGTTCTCTGAAGTTAAAACCTACAAGTTCTCTTAAGTTTAAATCTACAAGTTCTCTGACGTTTGAGTCTACTAGTTCACAGAAACCACTCTGGTTGCTTGGTTCCGTCTTTCCTAGAAAGACACTTTTTTAGAGTGTGATCTGATTGGCAGACTTGCATACTTTTCAGCCAATCACAGCGGAGCAGGAGACCATGCCTGTGGCGAAGCAGGGAAACTGTAAGATTTGTGCCGCTCTGCCTGCAGACTTTAGCGCCTGTGCTCTCACTGTTTAAAGCCTTTTCAGTCAGGAAGGGGCTGATAGTGAGCTGTTCAGAAGCAGAGGAAACAGGTGCACTGCAGTGGACAGGACTACTGCAGGATCAGAGCTGGGAAACGGGTGAAGTCGACACCTAAACATGAAGAATGGACTGTTTTTCAACAAAGGATCGTCTGAAGTGATGTTAGTGGACTAAGTGATAAAGCTGATGATTGGAGTGGCTGTGACTGTCTGTGTTTTGCTGTGTGGAGTATCTGTTTGTGCTCTCGGAGGTGAGTCAGTCCTTTCAGACGGACTATGTTTCTACTCTACTCCTGAATACAGCAGTAAACTAACAGTGAACTCCGCTGATAGAGCTCGGACAGTGAACTACAGTTAACATTAAGAAGTTAGTTTTTATCCACCTTATTGTTCACATGACCTCTGTGAACAATAAGGTGGTTTGGTGATTGTGGCTGAAAAACTGTGGATGTCATTCTTTTACTGTCCTGTTGTGGCTCCGCAGCTGAATCAGATTTGTAGGTAAAAATAAAATAATCCTCCTTTACAGTAAAATAAAGCTCTGCTGATCGTTCAACACAGTTTAACAATAAATGGTCTTAAACTCTGGAGTTAATGTAGAACTGCTAATTCACCCTTTAACCCTGAGGATCAGGGTTGTAGTTCAGATCAGCGCAGACTGCTGGTCACCATAGCAATGACAACAATCTCACCTAGCTAGTAGCTAAAGAAAAGGCAAAGAGAGAGATTTAAGATGATCATTGATAATTTGGAGACGAATGGACTTTTTGTTTATAATCACTCCAGCTAGTTTGGTCATAAGTATAATCTACAACGAGAAACTGACAAATGCTAAAAAGTCACGAGGCTGAAGTCGCTTCTCATTCCCCAGCTTATCATTCTGATTTTCCCGTTCCACCTTAAATGGTGCAGCAGTTATGTTCTGGCCTCAGGCACCATTTAAGGTGGGACTGGAAATTGAAGCTGGTGAATGAGAAGTTCACTTCAGCCTCGTAAGAAGTCGAACGTTTAGGGACATTTTACAAGAAAATGTTCTGATGTTGACTAAAAGTTTCCTGCTGGAGATGTGAGAAAAGCAGCTACAGCTGAGCTAAACCTTACAGCAGAGCAAAGTAAGTCTGTGTTTTCCTTTATATCAGATTTTTAGCCTATACTAGTACATCAGCACACACTGAGACATATTTACAGCCACAGTGGTAAAATGTACATAAAATGTTGTGGCTCTCACTGTGACTAGATTTTTTGTTGAAAGGAAAAAATGGCTGTTCTTAACATCTGGTGACCCCTGGATTAAGTTATTGTTTTGTCTAGTAAAATGTCTGAGCCATTCTGGGGCACGCGGTCAGTTTGTGGCTGTCAGTGCAGCCGAGTGAAAGTACTACAATAACAGCAATGCTACAACCCTAAATAGCTCCCTAGCAAACACTCAACATTATTACAACGTTGTCAAAAAGTGGTGCTGATTATTTTGTCTGAATAAGGTTGTCACAACCTCATTATTAAGTGACGTTGCCGTGTGGTATTATGGCTACTTGTTGGCATCTTAGTACAAATGGACAACATCCCTGCTGAAAAAGGACCAATACAAACCATTAGGATTAAAATGAATGGGAACTGGCTTAATGGTTTCCGTTAGAGATTAGTTTCCTGTAGAATTCTTTTACTGTAGTAAACTCAGCTCTGATTGGTGATTCAGATTTCTATCAGCTTTAACTCTGTAAAGCAGTAACGTACAAATCTGTAAACACTGGTGTGTTTTCTTAGTCCTGGTTTGTGAATTCACTCCTAAACATCAGAGCGTGTGTTTACATGCTCTTAATAATCCGATACCTGCAGGAAATTAGATTTTGTCAGTAATCCGATCAACACATTAACCTGCATTTGAGTAATCAGATAATGTGAAACTCCAGGTCTACATGAGTCAGACAGTAATCAGATTTCGGCTTTACAATCAGCCAATAAACTCACAGAAGAAGACGTGATGTAAACAATGTAAAACTCAGACTTGATACTGTGGCTTTTTTTTAAATCATCGCACCACTTTACCTGAAAATATGAACAAACATCATCTAGAAGACGCAGAATATTTTAATTCTTCATTTCATCAAGCATATATTTTTGTTTTCAGCGTCACTTCAAAAGTGTTTTGCTGCGTCTCACAGCGACGCTGCTCACTTATTTCTGGTACTGCTGTCTGTTTTCGCACATGCTCAGACTGAGAAATCGGAAAGAAATCAGAGTAAGAGTTTACAGCACTGAGAAATCTGATTACTGAGCCAAAATCCAGCCTCTTTATCAAATGTCAATCAGATTCAGATCTAAGAAATCACAGTATGCTGTTTACACGACCATTTGAATAATCAGATAACTGCAAAAAATCTGATTATGATCTGATTATTGAGTGCATGTAAACGCACTCAATGTTTTACTTTCTAAAGCTTATAACTTCAGAAGTTGAGCTCTCAGATGAATAAAACCAGGTTCAAACTGTCCAGACTGGTTAGTGTAAAATTTCATGGTTCTTATTCTGTCCATCCATGGCCTGTGAAGACCACAAGCAGGGAAAGTCAAAGTAAGAGAAATATAAGCATTTTTTAAACTTTGGCAGGTGATTTTCAACACAAATGACATCAGAATCTATGAAAATGTTTGATTTAGCTCGATTTGTGAAAAATCTCTCAAACAGCTCAGTATGATTGCTCCACACAGCTCTATCTCCTCAGGAATAAGACTGATTTGGAGTCTAATTTCATACAAAAACATTATCAATAACCTTGCAAATTTACTTGTTGTACACGAGTTGATTTGTGAAAATATTCACTAACAGATTTTGTGATGTTGTTTTATACAGGTCTAGTTCCTTTACCTTGCATAAAAAAGTCAGTGTTTCTATGATTTGCCCAGTAACACTCATGTAAGGCGATGAAAACAGGTTAGAATTGTTTATCAGTCTTTGATCAAAAAGCTTTTGTACAAAAAAGCTAAACAAAATGTGGTTTTAACTTTGGAACACAAGTTAATATATTTACACTACCAGTAATCATGCAGTGTTGGTGAAAACCTTCACAAACAGTTTGACATATTGGAGTGATTTATACAGTTCTGCTCACATTTTCATGTGTAATAATACTGTAGTTCAGCTTTTGGGGCAAATATAGAACATTAATACATATAACTTTGATAACTGATCATGTTTTGGGATAACAGCAGACATGAATATAAATGGACTTCTGATTTGTGAAATATTTCACAACTATATGTCCATCAGTCTTTTATTAATAAGTTTTGGCAATTAGAAGTTGAATATTTTGGAGGGTTTGAAACACTGTTTACAGTAACAATAGCAGTGAAATTTCACTTGTTTTAGCCATTATCAGATTTTCACGTGGCAAAACTCCACAGCACACTGTGTCCCTCGCTGCTCCACCCAGCCAACATCCACTCTCTCCACTGCCCACCATGCCTTCGACACTGGCATGAGTGCTCACTAGGGCCCTGCTTCAGCTACTGGTGACCCCATGGGGTCCCTTTACCATAGTGGGAGCTCTAAGATCAGGACGCACATGTTTATACTTGCCAGCTCCTTTATTTATTTAAATCATGTACAAAATACATTCTTTTGCCTTTTTCCTCTTGTATTGACTGAAATCTTGACCACAGAAGCATAAATGTCCTGCTTTTCTGGCCATGCTGCATCACTTTTCCACAGTAGCAGTCGTGCAACCACACAGGTTACATTCCTAACGCTTATCTGGAGAATCATGTACAGCTTTTGCTCCCAAAACGTAACTAAAAAACAAAGCCATTACAGAAACATTTAGCTTGGCCAGCTGTAGTCTAGACACCTTTATGTTTGGTTTATTGGGACTTATTATTGTTATTTTCACTTAGAAAATCGACACAACATGTCCTGTTTGCATAAGACTGCTGAAAAAGTTGATCATGTCCTGCTTTGTTTCTGAAAACCTTTTATTTGTCTATTTCTCCACAGATACACACTCTTTGTTCTACCTCTGCACTGTCCAGTCCAAGCGGTCAGTGAATAACATGTATGAGTTCACTGCATTGACTCTGCTGAATGACAGACAGATTGACTCCTACAGCAGTACAGACGGGGTCAGGACTCCTAAACAGGCCTGGATGAAGGAGATGAAGGAGATGCAGGGCAGTGAATGGGAAAGAGGCACCACTGAGCTGAGTAACGATGGGCTGTGGTTAAACACCTTTCTCAGCAAAGTGATGGAGGCATTTGGACACAGTGAGTCAGGTGAGGCAGTGCTTTAGAACTGCTTAATCTCAGTAGAGATTAAATTCATGATTAGAGCAGGAAAACACGAGCTTCGTTTTGCTCCAGATACTCTCAGCCTTTCTGCAGTGCATTGTGAGCTGACTGTGAGATTCCCACAAAATCTTTACTGTCTCCAGTGCAGCGTTGACCTCTGAGAAGATACTGAGGAGAAGATCACTGATATAAGAGCATTGATAAAATCAGCAGCAGTTTGAAATGCTTCTTTTCAAATTTCTAACATTCTTATTTCTGTAGATGGATCCTTGAAATCTTAAAATAATCTATAGAATTAAACAATAAATACATTGACATAAATCCGATTTCAAAATGATTTATTTCATTTGTAAATCATTACAGATCAATGCAGTAAACTGTAAATGGTTTAAATGAGCATAAAGTTTATTATGTAATTTTATAAGGTCTCAGTATGAACCTCCTCCAGCAGTACAGACATCATCAACACCATAGTCAGATTCATCCCATACTGGATTGAGCATGTCGGGTGTCACTGCACTCACGGCTCTTTCAGTGCGATTTCGGAGATCATCCAATGTTGAGGAACCAACGCCAAACGCTCTGAGCTGTTGGAGGTTCACTGCCCACGAAAATTACACTGCACAGTTATGACAGATTCACTCTTATTGAAGTGGAGAACGCAGAACGCTTTCTGCTCAGGGGTCACATCTCCTCTCAGACTGAAGGGAGCCATCTTCCATGGACAGTCAGAAACTCTATGACCCCCTCTTACATTTGGTATGTGATTGGTTCCTAGGCACCTCACGGTTGTAAAAATATGGTGCTTTGAAATCGGATGAAGCTTTTTAAATCCCCTGTATAAAGGATCAATAGAACTCGTACTAAAAACTCAAAAAAGTTTTCTGTGAAGAGCAGTAAGCAAAGCTGAGCTTGTGTGTTGTCATCTTACCTGTTCAGTATTTCCTCTCTGCGGCCTGACTGGATGTTGGTAAAACAAAAACTATATTTCCATGCGTAAAACAGTATTAATAATTCTAATAGGTGAGAACATTTATCAGTAACATCAACTCGATAAGAAACAGTAACAATTTGCTGTTTAAAAAAAATCAGGGAAGTTTATTGAGCTCTTTATTCAACAACTCACTCAAACGATACTTAAGGAAATAGAGAAAAAGAACATCTGCAGTAGAACACAAACACTGCACGTCTGAGACGTGGCGTGTGGAGTGGTGGTTTATGGACTCATGAGTCTAAATTTGTAACTTAGGATTAGCAGAAAATGTAAAAACAACTTCTAAGACTGAACTTCAGAGGTGTGAAATAAACATCTCTGCAGATTTCTCTGAAAAACTGAAAGTCTTCTGAGAGGAAGGGAAGCTGAGTCTACCTGTGAAGCTCTTTTGTGGAGATCTGGGAGAGTTTAGAGAAACACCTGTTCACACTGAGGAGGGCGGCTGAATGTGCTGTGCTTTGTAAGTGATGATGATTCTGTTCTTCATCTCTGTTTCAGGTGGTCATACTCTTCAGTGGAGACATGGCTGTGAGGGTGTAAAGCGGTTTGATGACTCAGTGATGGGTGTAAATTACACTGATGAATATGCCTATGATGGACAAGACTTCATCCATTTTAACTGGACCTTGAAGAAATGGCTGGCTTCAGCTGAAGAGGGCAGAGTGATGGAGGGGAGGTGGAACTCTGGACACAGTCACATCACTGCTCCTCAGAAGTGTGAGGAGTGGTTGAAGATTTATCTCCACTACAAAAATAATACTCAGACCAAACCAGGTGAGTATTTGGATACCTGCCACAATCTGGCTGTATTATTATTATTATTATTATTATTATTATTAACACTTTCTATGAATGTCATGTTTGTAAGCATCTATAAACACATTTATAACATGTTATAATGCCTTCATATGGCATTATAAACGTGGTTATAAATATTTATAATAAAGAATTACACTGAATTACACTTTATAGCCATGTTTATTATACATTATGAATTGTTAATATAATGCATTATAAGTAGTGTTAATAACATGTTATAATGTCAGTGCCAAAGAAGTCAGTCCCAGCTTGGAGAGCGTAAAGTAAAGACAAATACCAAGCTAACGGTGGTGTACATTACCTTTCCCACATTGGGTAAAACACTGATGGCAGCTCTAGTTTAAACTCTGACATTTGAAGCCTGTAATGTGCTTTACTGTGAATGTTTTAGTGTTTCAGTAAATCCTTCAGTAAATACTTCAACTTGTAGCCTCACTCTGAACACTGGAGGAGGCTTTAGTACAGTACGCTTCACTTTACTTAGAGGGGACTAATACAACTTATGAGCACTTATAATTTGTTATGATCAGTACTTATAATGTATTATGTTAACAATTCATAATGCATAATAAGCATGGCTATAACGTGTAATGCATTTTTATAAATATTTATAGCTATGTTTATAATGCCTTATGAATGCATTATAATGTGTTATGAATGTGTTTATAGATGCTTACAAAGGTGACATTCATAGAAAGTGTTACCATTTTTACTTTACGCTCTCCAAGCTGGGACTGACTTCTTTGGCACTGACATTATAACATGTTATTAACACTATTTATAATGCATTATATTAACAATTCATAATGTATAATAAACATGGCTATAAAGTGTAATTCAGTGTAATTCTTTATTATAAATATTTATAACCACGTTTATAATGCCTTATGAATACATTATAACATGTTATAAATGTGTTTATAGATGCTTACAAACATGACATTCATAGAAAGTGTTACCATTATTATTATTATTATTATTATTATTATTATTATTATTATTATTCATGAAGGTAAATATTTAGGGCAGCCATAATTACTGAATTGACCTTGATTACTTGATTACTAAAATGACTTCGCTAAGATTTGAATATTTCAATAAATCAGCAGTGATTAGGGGTCAGTCGGCATCATGACAGTATATTTTAAGCTTCTTTTCTCCTCTATTTTACAGTAACAGATCTGATGGACACACGTTTACATACATTTTTCCACATAGTGCTTTTATATATTTTAAATTAAATCTTTTTAAAGTCTTCCTAGTATGTCTTTTCTCCAGTAAAGTATACTGTCATTTTTGAAAGGATGAACTTTTTTATTTACCTTAAAAAACATGAATAATTGTAAAAATATTAACAAAGTCGATAGTGACGGATTTAATAACATTAAATAACAGACTTCTGTAAAATTAGGATACAAACTATGAGTAAAAATAAAGACTTTCTCTGTCAGAACAAATGAGGTGAATCATAGGCTGGCACTGTTTGATACTGTAGTTTTCTTTAAATTAATTAATTAATTTCATTTTTCCCAGGTAATGTATTTGTGTTCGCAAAGAAATCTAAAACTGACTTGAACAAGCTGACCCTGACCTGCCTGGCTACGGGCTTCTACCCCAAAGACATGAAGATTGAACTGAGGAAGTCCAGCACTTCACTGCCTGAACACCTACTAACATCTTCAGGAGTCAGACCCAATGATGATGGAACCTACCAGCTGAGGAAGAGTATGGAGATCCAGGAGGAGGAAACAGCAGATTATGACTGTTTTGTGACTCACAGCTCCATCAACACACCAGTAATTAAACAGTGGGGTGAGCATATCTGTGTTTTTCACTGTGTTTGACAGACACTCAGAACATTAATATCAAGTACGCTGTAGCTAATTTACTGGTACCAACATGTACTCACAGCTAACACAGTCAACTTTAACATTTTCACTGGGATTCTTTTTTTCTCTTTAATTGAAGATGGGAAATGCAACGACTGTACAAATGACAGCTCTCTGAGTTCAACACTCATAGTAGTGTTTTCAGTGATAGCTGTGGTCCTCTTGGTCACCCTGGTGATCTGTTTCCGTAAAAGGGAATGGAATAATCTGTGAGTAGAGCTTCACTATTACAGATCCTCCATGCTCCCTTCAGTGTATTATTATCATTATTATTATTATTGTTATTATTATTAGTGGTAATAGTAGTGATAGTAGTGATAGTAGTAGTAGTAGTGGTAGTGGTGGTGGTAGTAGTAGTGGTAATAGTAGTGATAGTAGTAGTAGTAGTAGTAGTGGTGGTGGTGGTAGTAGTGGTAATAGTAGTAATAGTAGTGATAGTAGTGATAGTAGTAGTAGTAGTGGTAGTGGTGGTGGTGGTAGTAGTGGTAATAGTAGTAATAGTAGTGATAGTAGTGGTAGTAGTGGTGGTGGTGGTAGTAGTGGTAATAGTAGTAATAGTAGTGATAGTAGTAGTAGTAGTAGTAGTGGTGGTAGTGGTAGTAGTAATGGTGGTGGTGGTAGTAGTGGTAATAGTAGTAATAGTAGAGATGGTAGTAGTGATAGTGTAGTATATCATTCAGTAAATCATGAGCCACATTCTGAAACACAATGTACAAGTTAATGGTTTGTTTTCTTATTACTGTGTTTCTTCTACTATTTTTCAGGTTATAGAGACATTTATGTGGCAGGAAATGGCATCAGTGAGGTCTCTTTCATCACTTAGCCACCTGTTTTCATCATTTGAAGATGTTATGAAGACTGTTACTTCAGGACATATTTCAGGACTTTACTGTACATTTCTAATATAAGTCCTTTAAATGTTTGAGAATAAGTTGAGAATAAGATCTGCTTAAAAGGGAAAGTGATCATGTTGCTGCCTGGACTGGGAGCAGTACAGTGTTGCCTGCTGTGCAGAGTGGTGTGTTGGGCAGGGGAGGGCTAAGTGCCTTGCTCTATCAGGAATACCTGATAGCTGAGTCACTAATGGGATTTGAGCCTACGGCCTTCTGGTGCTGATCACCTCTTTTGACACTAGAATACCAGCCACACTCTTCTTTTTTATAGAGGTCTTCAGTGTGCCATTAAGTGTTTGCTGTAGACTGTGCTCCCACCCCCCCACCTCCTGAAGTGTGCCACCTCACCCACCCCAAAGTGTGTCTAGCTGGTCATAATATTTCTCTGTGAAGTCATTTATCGCAAGACTTGATATTAAAATGATCTTTAGCAAACACAGACAGATAAACTAGTTTACCTCAGAGCCAGTGTCATTCACAGTGTCATTCACAGTGTCATTAACAGTGTAATTCATAGTGTAATTAACAGTGTCATTCACAGAGTCGTTCACAGAGTCGCTCACAGTGTCGTTCACAGTGTCATTCACAATGTCGTTCACAGTGTCGTTCACAGTGTAATTCACAGTGTCTTTCACAGAGTCGTTCACAGAGTCGTTCACAGAGTCGTTCACAGTGTCATTCACAGTGTCACTCAGAGTCATACACAGTGTCGTTCACAGTGTCGTTCACAGTGTCGTTCACAGAGTCGTTCACAGTGTCGTTCACAGTGTAATTCACAGTGTCACTCAGAGTCGTTCACAGTGTCGTTCACAGTGTCGTTCACAGTGTAATTAACAGTGTAATTCACAGTGTCATTCACAGTGTCATTCAGAGTCATTCACAGTGTAATTCAGTGTCATTCACAGAGTCGTTCACAGTGTCGTTCACAGTGTAATTCACAGTCATTCACTGTCATTCACAGTGTCATTCACAGTGTAATTCACAGAGTCATTCACAGTGTCACTCACAGTGTCATTCACAGTGTAATTCACAGTGTCATTCACAGTGTCACTGTCATTCACAGTGTAATTCACATTCATTCACAGTGTCATTCACAGTGTCATTCACAGTGTCATTCACAGTGTAATTCACAGTGTCATTAAGAGTCATTCACAGTGTAATTCACAGTGTCATTCACAGAGTCGTTCACAATGTCGTTCACAGTGTAATCCACAGTCTTTCACAGTGTCATTCACAGTGTCATTCACAGTGTCGTTCACAGTGTCGTTCACAGTGTAATTCACAGTCTTTCACAGTGTCATTCACAGTGTCGTTCACAGTGTCGTTCACAGTGTAATTCACAGTCATTCACAGTGTCATTCACTGTGTCATTCACAGTGTCATTCACAGTGTCACTCAGTCATTCACAGTGTCATTCACAGTGTCACTCAGTCATTCACAGTGTAATTCAGTGTCATTCACAGTGTCATTCACAGTGTCACTCAGTCATTCACAGTGTCATTCACAGTGTCACTCAGTCATTCACAGTGTAATTCAGTGTCATTCACAGTGTCACTCAGTCATTCACAGTGTCATTCAGTGTCATTCACAGTGTCGTTCACAGTGTAATTCACAGTCATTCACAGTGTCATTCACTGTGTCATTCACAGTGTCATTCACAGTGTAATTCACAGTGTCATTCACAGTGTCACTCAGTCATTCACAGTGTCATTCACAGTGTAATTCAGTGTCATTCACAGTGTCACTCAGTCATTCACAGTGTCATTCACAGTGTCACTCAGTCATTCACAGTATCATTCACAGTGTCACTCAGTCATTCACTGTGTAATTCAGTGTCATTCACAGTGTCACTCAGTCATTCACAGTGTCATTCACAGTGTCACTCAGAGTCATTCACAGTGTAATTCAGTGTCATTCACAGTGTCATTCACTGAGTCATTCACAGAGTCATTCACAGTCATTCACAGTGTCGTTCACAGAGTCATTCACAGAGTCATTCACAGAGTCATTCACAGTGTCATTCACAGTGTAATTCTCTCTGTTAATACTGTCGACACTGAGCTGTGAGTTTGGTCTTCCACAGAGTTTAATCCAAAACTTTCTCAGCTTCAGTAGTGAAATAAAAACAGCTCCACCTTCCAGATGATCAGGATAGTGTGAGTCAGGCATTAACGTTCCTCAGTAACACCTTTCCACCATTTCTAACTCTAACAGTTCTGACTGATTCATTACATTTGTATTCTATTCCACTCGTCCACTTATAACGTTTGTGTTAATTTTACAGCACTGAACCTTTTTTAAACTAATATTTTGTGTCAGTCCTCAAATTAAAGCAGGAATCTCAAAGTGAAAAAGAAAGAAAATAGAGTTATTATTTCCACATGGTGCACAGATTCTCATTGTCATATGACACCTCTGGTCAAATTCCATGTTGTTGATGTTCTAAGTGTAAATGAGTTAACACATACCTCTACAGAGAACTTTCCTGAAAATTTTAGTGCACAATCTCTATTTATTTGTTTAACATTTTGGGAAAAGAAATAATAAATTTGGCCTGTACTAAAGTTATGGTTTTATGTCCATAAATATGCTAAATTCTGTAAATAAACAGTGATTGTGTATGTAAATGTGCAGTACTGTATCTCTGTAGAGGATGCGTTCACTTATTTACACTCAGAACATCAACAACAACATGCAATTTGACTGGGGGTGCCAAAACATTTGCATACAACTGAGAGTACTTACCCCTTCTAAAAGTGTCTGACTTTGTCTGTGATTTCTTCTAACGTCTTCTGGCTTGAGGAGAACTGATGTATTGAAATGCTCATGCTTTGGCTTCTAATCCAGTTTCTGCAGGTAGATTAAGATTTTTAAAATTATTTTTATTTATTTGCTTAGTTTTTACTGAACTTCTGTATGCTAAACATCATAAATGTGTGAACAGGGGTCTCCAGAAGCACTGCTAGCACTGCTGTGTCTGATCCACTCAGACCAGCACAACACACACTAACACACCACCACCACGTCAGTGTTACTGCAGTGCTGAGAATGATCCACCACCCAAATAGTACCTGCTCTGTGAGGGTCCATGGGGGTCCTGACCACTGAAGAACAGGGTAAAAGGGGGCTAACAAAGTATCAGAGAAACAGATGGACTACAGTCTGTAACTGTAGAACTACAAAGTGCACCTATATAGTAAGTGGAGCTGATAAAATGGACAATGAGCGTAGAAACAAGGATGTTATGTCTGATCGGTGTGTATATATATATATATATATATATATACATATATATATATATATATATATACACGAAACAATAGTTATTATGTCTTTATCTGAAAAAAAGATATTAGACCAACACTGTCAATCTGTCAATCATTTCGCCAATTCGTTAGGTTTCTGAGCCCGTGCTGGGAGCGAATGAATATGGACGCCTGCAGCAGCGGAGAACGAGACCTTTCCTCAACAAAACAGCGTCTACTGATGCTGTCCTGCTCCTAGAGAAGACGAGGCGATGCGGGTGTCCGCGCTTCTCTGTGCCGCTGTGCTGTGCGCCGTGTTCGTCTCTGCTGTCGAAGGTGAGTCGATTCTTTCCTGCAGACCGCATTATTTGCTGGGTCATCGGCGAAAACCAAAGTAAACCCCATGATACTGCGCTGCGCAAGGAAATGCGTAGCACTTGTTATCTCAACCAGCAACAGGGCCGTGTTAACAAATCTCATCAGATCTGCGGGCCAGGGAGAAAAAGGTCTTACTTCATGTTTAATTAACGTTGTGCTTTAACCCAGACTGACCATTGTTTATTTAAAATGCGCTAAAACGTCAGCAGTAAAATACAGACACTTGTGGTAGACCTTGAAACACTACATGGACACTTATTATTCTAATTTAAACGTCCCCAAGTCCTTCAAGGCTACTATCTGCTTGAACGAGACACCTGACATCCTTTCTTTGCTGCAAGTTCATTGGGGTCATTCTACAGAAACGTCCCTAGCATTTACAGATATATTACATTTGAAAAACATGTTAGGGTTGCAATTTATTCATATTTTAACATGAAACAATAGGTCATTTTTACAGTTACACCTTCTTGAGTCTCAATTTAGCAATATTGGTTTTTAAATCAATCATATAGAATTCCAATCACCACAGAAGAGCTCATCCTCACAGTCATGTGTGAAGGCTGAGGCCATATTTTGAGGTAAAAAACATGTTTTTCTGCCATTTTAACTGCAATAATCTATACATGACTATAGAATCTGTATGATTTAAATGACACAAAGAAAGCAAATGCCAAATAAATATTATAAAATATATAATGAAAGTTGTTGTCCCCAGGAGTCGTGTCACTGGTGTTACTGCATAACAAAAAGTCTCTTATTTTGAAATAAAAGTCACACTGATGACATCACTTGACTTCCTTTTCCCTGTTTTCTGAGGATCTATGAAGAAAAGCACATGGTGAGTCCACTGTGTCTTTCAGTTATCAGAGATTTTCTCATTTAGCTCATGATTTCATATGAAGCTTTTAGCTGAAGTCACTGGTGTGACCGACTTTATTCTGAGGTAATTGTGAAAAAATAGAATATAAATGGATTAAATTCCATATTTTAGTGGATATTCCATGATTGATGATATGTGGTTTGATGCTCTGTAGCAGCCATTTTGTAAAATGCATTTTTATTAAAAATGTCTCTGGTGTTCCCTTTATTATGTGTAACACCAATGAGGACAAGTAACACCAGTGACTCCTATAGACAGATAGAAAAGTGAACGTTTCTGTAGAATGACCCATTAATACTTGGACTCAATTTCTGAGCTGCTGAGCTAATTTTAAGTGTTTATGTTGGTTAACCTGCAGCTGAAATGTATTTTGATGATATGATTGCGAAGAATTGTGTAGAACTGAAGTGTGACTGCTGTTGGGGTAGGAGAGCTGGAGCACATTATGTTGCAGTGCATGCTGGGGACTGTAGTGCAGCACATTGCAAAACAACCTTAATATTAATAGAAAATTAAAATACTTTTGAAGGCCGGATAGGATTGTGTTTTAACACATGGGTCCTAGGGTAAATTCTTCTTCTTCCATTCTTTTTCTTCTGCTATTCTTTTTTTTCTCTCCTTGATGTTTTGATCCGACATTTGGTTTTCATACAGTCTTCGTTAAATTACGATTTTTTTTCCTACAGGAATGAATGGATGTCACGCCCATCTACTGCACTACTGTACTACTGTTCGACTGAACTACTCTGTATCTCTTACACTTATGTCAGGGCAGGCCCCAGGCCATGAATTCAATGTTGTTCTGACCTGCACTCCTCTGTTTGTCTTTTTTTTTCACATCCCTCGTTTCTCCCATGGAGTCCCATTCATTTTTACCCCCCCCCACACAATCCCTGTTATTTCCTAGAGCCACCAGACTGTATTGACTCAGGGCAGGTCCTCAGACTCTAAGGGTGCCTACAGCTCTGTCGGACTAGAAACGTGCCTGTATGTAGAGAAAAGAGACTCTGTCCAGCTTCAAAAAGTTCAGACCATTTTGCTGCAATGGATTCTATGGAAAGCCTTTCAGATCATAAAAGTTAATAAAAGTTTGCGCATTAACACATAATATTTAGTCATGATAACCTGATGAAAAAAAACACCTTCACATTTTTTTGAGGTTTTCCGCCAATGGGAGGCCTCAAATCCGAATATATATATGGATATTCATAATAGAAATTGCTTCACGTATTACAACCGACAAGTCTGTGTGATTCCGGAACAGCACAGTGTGTTTTGCAGACCTCCAGAACAGCACTGTGTGTTTTACAGACCTCCAGAACAGCACTGTGTGTTTTACAGACCTCCAGAACAGCACTGTGTGTTTTACAGACCTCCAGAACAGCACAGTGTTTTTTTACAGACCTCCGGAACAGCACAGTGTTTTTTTACAGACCTCCAGAACAGCACTGTGTGTTTTACAGACCTCCAGAACAGCACAGTGTTTTTTTACAGACCTCCGGAACAGCACAGTGTTTTTTTACAGACCTCCAGAACAGCACTGTGTGTTTTACAGACCTCCAGAACAGCACTGTGTGTTTTACAGACCTCCAGAACAGCACTGTGTGTTTTACAGACCTCCAGAACAGCACAGTGTTCCAGAGGAGAGGAAGTTTATGCTCTGGTTTATGCGCTGAGACGGTGTTGCTAAGCAACAACTTTGACAGCTGTAGGAGACGCTCAAGCCATTTGAACGTTTTTACTTCTTACTTTGCCACAAACAGAAAATGGACATTTTTAAGATCACATTTGACCGACAGCCGATTTGGTCAGACTCTAAATTCCCAAACTGTCAATTGGTCTGTGTGGAGCTGAAGAACGAACTGCCCGCTGTGCAGTGAGTGGGCGGAGCTCGTTACTCTGACGTAGCAACAAGCTGCTTGTTAAGGAACTATAATTTGGTGAAGGAACTGAGAACATTAAAACATATTAAACGCCGCGTTCACGACCCAGTTTATTAATTTATTACTTTATTTGTTTAACTGTTGTATTAAAGCAGTAGAACACTCGAGGAGTGTGTTATCACCAATAACATCACGGCTGTGATGATCTACGGCGACCAAATCACAGCCTTGATGTTATTTCACAATAACACACTCCCTATGTGTTCTATTGCTTAAGTAAACTGCAGAGCAAATGATTCAGGTGTTCCTGTAGACCTTCTGGATTCTCTATGCTGTTGCAGTGTTGGGGAAAAAAAATGAAACAGATCTTAATGAAATGATCATGACCTGCTTTTATTTCTCTGTTTTCACAGATAAACACTCTCTGTATTACCTCTACACTGTCCAGTCCAAGCGTTCTGTCAGTAACGTCTATGAGTTCAGTGCAGTGACTCTGCTGAATGACAGACAGATTGACTCCTACAGCAGTACAGACGGTATCAGGGCTCCTAAACAGGACTGGATGAAGGAGATAAAGGAGAGTGAAAGGGAAAGTGGTACTACTGAGATGAAGGATAACGCAACCTGGTCAAACACCTTCCTCAGCACAGTGATGGAGGCCTTTGGACACAATGATTCAGGTGAGGCAGTGCTTTTTGTCCTCTGGATGAACAGATATTGTATCTTCACTGGATGATAGACCGTGTGCTCAGCCTGATGGAGCCTGATAATCCGTTAATAATCTGACTAATAGATCAATTGGAATAGAATACGTCCATGTAAACACCTCAGTCGGAATAGTCTAGTCTGATTGAGGTCATTCAGGATACAGTTTCTGTCCGACTGAACAAGGTGGGTAATCCTGTAAATAATCCATTAAATAGAAGAGTAATGTCCGTGTAAATACCTGTGTCTGATTACATTCCCTATCACAGTCCATTCTGATCATGTTCATCACGTCATAGTGAAAGTTTATACCGTTCAACATGGCGGAGCAGAAACTGGTCCGCAGAGGAGACGAAGTTTACGCTCTGATCTTTAAAAGACGGCGGTGGGACAGACGTCCAGCTTATGTGTCTCAGAACACGACGTCTTCCTCTCGGCCTTCTTTAATAAGGACATGTGAAGGACGTTTTCCTGAGTCTGACATCATTTTAAAGCAATTAAAAACACAAGCGCTGCTCACTGCTGCTCATCTCACTCTGACTGGACTCACTGGTTGCCATGGTAACGTCTACATGAAGTGGTTCTGTACCCATGCTTGTAATTTTGGATCTAATTACTTGTAGTGAGCATGTAAATGGAGATTATCCATCAGATTGTTGAGTAGAGTGAGAAAAACACCTCAGTCTTCATCTGTAATCAGAATGTATTCAATCGGATTGGCAAAAATCACTGCATGTACAGCCACTGAATCATGTGATTGCCTCTCCATCCAAACCGCATTGTTATAAATATCAATGCTAGATTTTTTTGTGTACTGCTGACTTTGTTTTCCTCCCAATGTTTTCAGCCTGTTTTGAGTTGACGCAACTTCTCAGTTTTCCACCTTTGTGGATCCAGACATCTTTACCTTCTCCCGTACAACTAAATCTGTCTGGCTGCACACCATAGTTGTGTGGCTGGCTTAGGGAACACATGTAACCATGTAGGAGCAGAGCTTTTTGCTATGCAGGCAGCTGTTTTGCGTCATGAGCCCCAAACTGTAACAGGAAAACCTGCATTTTGGTAACTGCCAAGCAGATAATCACAGCAATGATGCCTTGAAGTGGGGAAAATTTACTTTCACTTGGGAATAACAATGAAATCTAAGTTCAGAGAGGAAGAGAAACACAATATAAGTAGCTCCCTGATGTCTCAGAAGCTCCCTGATGTCTCAGAGCCATTAGATGCTGAGATGATTACTTCTTTTGGTTAACTTAATGCTACTAAAGACAAACCAGTTATGCTCTCCTGCCAAACTACTCTGATTGTGTTCCAGTGTCTAACACAGTTCAAAAGAAACCTCTGTAATAAGAAAAACAGCAAGGCCATCGCGAGTAAAGCACAGGTTCCCAACCCTGGTCCTGGAGTAGATAGATAGATAGAACTTCATCGATCCCAAAGGGAAATTGCAGAACCCCCCTGCTCTGCACCGTTTTCTGTTTTCCACCTCTAAAACACCAACTTCAATTCAGCAATGGCTTGTCAATTAAATGCTTAGTTGGATCAGGTGTGTTGGAAGCAAAGGAAACACAGAAATGTGGAGGGCAGGGGGTCCTCTAGGAGCAGGGGGGAGAACCACTGCTGTAAAGAGCATGGACACACAGAATGAAGTACCAAGGCTTTATTGTCATTAAGTGGTAATAGCATAAAATAACAGACCATGCTTAGTTCCAAATGCAGTTTTAAAAATAATTAAAAGGCCTTCATAGTAAATGATTATGAATTTGCTTTAATCACATTATTGTTTTACTGAACACCTTACTGTTAAATGTACATCAGCGTTATATTTTTAATCTTGTCAATATTTTGTGTTTTAGGTCCAGATCAGGGGTGCACAACTCCAGTCCTGGAGGGCAGGTGTCCAGTGATGTACCTGCTGCAACACACATGATTACACTAGGTTATGTGGGTGTGTTTGATTAGGGAAACCTCCAAACTGTGCTGGACACTGGCCCTCCAGGAATGGAGTTGTGCACCCCTGGTCTAGATGTAACATGGAAGGTGATTTGGATCCTTTCCTGATAGTATATTTAATGACAAGTGAAGTAATGATTAAGTGAATAATGAGGAGACGGAGCTGAACGTGTGTCTGTTTATTAGGAGGAGTAACGTTAGCGCGCTCGGCCAAAGCGTTTGGGAAATGGAGACTGAAACTGGGGAGCAGCGACGCTCTGATAAACAGCAGGGGGCGCTCTCAGAGTATTCACAACTCACAGTTTATCATCTTTTTAATATCAGTAACAGTAGCTAACGTCAGCTGTCTGGCTAACTAACCTGATTATTTTGATTATGTGTTTACCTTTCAGCTGTGTGCTTATGGTCGGTTGCTAGGTAACAGATATGACAGTTAACTGTCGACTTTGATCGAGCAGGTTAAGATTCCCTAACTGGAAATAAGATGCTGTAAGATAAGTTTCCTAAATTTAGATCAGATTTGCTTCTGTAATACAAATTAGTGAAAAATCTTATTCTCTATAGACAAAAAGATAGGATGTTTCTGTAAAACGGCCTCTGCTTTCTTTTTAAAACATAAATATCAGAGAAATCGCTGGAAGGGCGTCTTACCCTGCTAAAGCTTCAACCAGAAAGAAGCATGGCTCTTTCTGAAAAGGGTCCCTGGGCACCCTCAGGATGGTGTGTCCGTCTGCTCAGGCCACTGACTGAGATGCCTGGCTGTTATGTATGTATTCATTTGTTTGTTTATTTTTTACAAAGTTGTGGATACTTCTGTAAACAGAAGTTTGAACCATGTAGCTTGACGGACTGGAGCTTTTTGCTCCATCATCAACTTAGCAGTAGTCTAGTCTCAGTTCAACACAGGTTTGGCTAAACCACTAAGTTTAGGGGGTTAACACACAGCTGTGTGTTTAAATGAACCATGACCGCTCTGTAAACACAAGCACAAGCCTACCTGATCCACTGGATGTACCATACAGTTACATCATGATCAGCCCAACCAACACAAGACACTGAATAATAAGGACATCCAACTTAATCAGTTCATATACTTTATATTCACATTTCAACATAAGTTATAATTGCAAACAAAAATTCTGTTCTTAAATGTAAACATCTCTATTTTATTACTACAACTATCAAAATGTTAAAATTGTCTTTGTGTAGTTCAGAGGTCACTAATAGGCGGACCGCGGTCCGAGTCCAGACCCAGACGCTGTCCTATGCGGACCTGAGCCTCTAACAGATAAACTATAGAGAATTATTTAATTTCAACGGGGTGTTGTTATTTCAATCGGCGTAGCTTTTCTAGCTTTACAGTATGGCTTTAGTGGCCCGGGAGACTCAGACCAATCGCATGCATTGTAAATATCACGTGACGCTACTCAGCCAATCAGATCTGTGCATTAAGATGAGCACTGTGATTTGAATGAGTGACGCGCACCCAGGGGAGGGACGTTAGGAATGTTGAAATGTCACTGAATTGTACTTTACAATTACTTTAATTGTATTTGATTTGATGTTCAGATGTCAGCTACGTAAGATGTTGATATACCTACTCTTATTGTATTTGTTTTGAGTCTTGAATGTGTGGACAGGACGCCACACACTTTATTTCATTAATTACATAATTTATGACCGTCACTACATGAAAACCAGTTAAACATTCTGTGCTCCCCAGTGTAAACGCTATGTATGAAGGGTCGTGGTGTGCGAGCTTTAGCAGTCATGCTGCCTTGTCACCCATGTCACTCAGAAGCAGTCAGTGGGGAGAAAAATGACTGACTGGCTTGGAGGATGAAGCAGCATCAGAGTGATTTCCAGCACGAACTTTCTGGAAAGCAGCCCCACGCTCAAAAAGCAAAATCACGTCACTCTGCTCCTGCCGCATCACTCATGTGCTCTGTCAAAAAAAAGAATCAGACAATATCTTGGTATAATTTTCATGCCAGGACTGACAAACAAGGATAAACTAAAACAGCCAAGTTAATTAAGTGACTGAATAAGGCCATCAAGACAGGAACAGATGATCTGTTGTTTTTAATCACATTTTTATGATATTTCATGATACAGGGATTTTATTTCATTTAAAACAGGCATTAGTTAAAGTGATACATTGAATGCAGAGAAACGTTCAATCCGTGCCACATTTGTGGTTGTAAGTATGAAGAGGAAGTATTTTATTATGATCTCAATTTGCTGGAATGATATTTGTACATATGGTTTTGTTTTGTGGAAGGGAAATCTTTCCTTTACATTGTTCCAGTAATTTGTACTGGAAGAAGATAAAGAATAATTAAGACCTTAATTGGGGGGTTTGACTCACTTTCAGACTCACTCTTATTTGGGCTCGATCTCAACTCAGTCTCACTTTCGTTTGGAATTGGCTCGGACTCGGCCCCGTTAGACTCCGTCTTGACTCGGTTTCAACTAGTCATGGTTATGGACTTGTCTTGGACTCGACAAAGATGGTCTTGACTCTAGCCCTGTTTACATCAGAGTAGGATATATTTATTATCAGTTAGGTTATTGGGGTGAATTCTGTCATTCCTAAAAAGGGCAGACAATTCCAGAAAAGACTGAAGTTGTCAATAAAAACAGGCCCCTAACTTTTTACACATGCCACCAGAAGTGAGCTGCTTTGGCATAAGAGGACCATGTGAGAGAAGCCGTCCATTCACTTCAAGCAGAATGACTTGGTCAAGTTTACACCCCACACATATCACTATATTTCAGACAGATGAGTATTTAGGAAGTAACCCAGGAAGCTGTTGTAAGACATCAGTGACTTTATTTAATAGAAAATTTAACAATAAATACACAGAAAGCTCCACAACTAAATATAACGTCAGATCTTCCAGTATTTAATTTGCCATTCTTCACTTTTGTGCACCTGCTGCCACTTCAACTTCCACGCTTCCAGTTACGGCTGTGTTCACCCAGCAAAAGCTGTTTCCAAAGATCTCACCCTATTTTTATGTTCCCCCTCAAGGAGATACTAACATTCGCACAAACAGCTACCCAAACTCAGCTCAGACATTTCTCTCTCATGAGCATCTAAAATGGCTAAAGGAGGTGTTTCTCGGGTGATTAGATAAGATGGAGAAAGTCAAACGAAAGCAAGTGGAAAGAAAAACAGGAACCTTCAAAAGAGTTAAAAAACTGATTAAAGGCTGCAGAGAAAATGTGGCTGGTAACAACCACCTGGAAGAGCTGGTCGACCCCAAAACTGCCCCCATCAGATAAACAGCACTTAAAGCTTTCATCTCTGAGAGAGAGGAGAAAATCAAGCTGCTTCAGATCTGAAAACATCCACAGGTGTTTCTGTCCATCCTTCCACTGTGAGAAGACGACTCAGCAACTCGCTCAAACAGTACTTGAGAAAATAGATAAAAAAGAACATCTGCAGTAGAACACAAACACTGCACGCCTGAGACGTGGCGCGTGGAGTGGTGGTTTATGGACTTATGAGTCTAAATTTGTAACTTAGGATTAGCAGAAAATGTAAAAACAACTTCTAAGACTGAACTTCAGAGGTGTGAAATAAACATCTCTGCAGATTTCTCTGAAAAACTGAAAGTCTTCTGAGAGGAAGGGAAGCTGAGTCTACCAGTGAAACTCTTTCGTGGAGGTCTGGGAGAGTTTAGAGAAACACCTGTTCACACTGAGGAGGGCGGCTGAACGTGCTGTGCTTTGTAAGTGATGATGATTCTGTTCTTCATCTCTGTTTCAGGTGGTCATACTCTTCAGTGGAGACATGGCTGTGAGGGTGTAAAGCGGTTTGATGACTCAGTGATGGGTGTAAATTACACTGATGAATATGCCTATGATGGACAACACTTCATCCATTTTAACTGGACCTTGAAGAAATGGCTGGCTTCAGCTGAAGAGGGCAGAGTGATGGAGGGGAGGTGGAACTCTGGACACGGTCACATCACTGCTCCTCAGAAGTGTGAGAAGTGGTTGAAGATTTATCTCCACTACAAAAATAATACTCAGACCAAACCAGGTGAGTATTTGTATACTTACTATTAAGGATGCACTGATACCAGCACCGTACCGGTCCTGGCACCAGCACCGGTTCTTAAATGCAATATTGGTATCAGTGATGGGGATAACGATACCATGAAGGAATTTCTTCAAACGACTGAGCCAGGCTCCTTTCAGTAATCACTCTCCCACTGTGGAGTCCGTTACAGTCTGAGTTAATGTTAGTGCTGGTTGTTATTGAGGGAGTGAACATTAGACAGACATGGAAGGAACCGCTGATCACTAAGATTAATGATAGCTTTTAGCCTTGGTTTAAACTTTACCATAGCAGCCCGCTAGCTGGCCTATTGTGTCCACTAGCTCCGCCTGCGGTGCACCTTGTTCGGTCAGCTGCTTTAGATGGTGGCGTGGTCTTGGGGTCTGACCTATTTGTCATACAGAACACTGCTTTCACCAAACAAAATATTGAAAAAGTGGAATTGTATAAATATTAGGATTTATAAGCTGGTTAGGCTAGAAAGTGTTAGTATCGGTATCTGTACTCTGTATTAGCCAATTCTTAAGGTTCTGTGTCGGTATCAATATCGGAAGGGAAAAAGTGGTATCAGTGTACCCTGCTTGCCAAAATCTGGCTGCGTTATCATTATTATTGTTGATGTTGTTGTTGTTGGTAGGTAAAGGTAGACATTAAGGGCTGCCACGATTTGCCTTGTTTACTCAGTCTATGCATGATTTGTTATAGTTCAGTTAAGTTCATTTTATTGACTTTTACAAAAACCTCTGTGGTTGCAGTTTCTATTTAAACACAAGAAATCAATTCAAAACAGTGAAATCACGACTGAATCTCCAAAGTAATAATACTTATTTAAGAATCACGGCCAGGAAGAAGCTCCTGGTAAAAACCTAGAGATCTCCACCTGAAACCAAGATTACAGGAGATTAAATAGCCCCCAGAAAGGGTGTTGGTTCATTTCATTGGTCAACAGAGCACAAAGAATTTATAATGCATTTGTTATTCCTAATTGTGACATAAATAAACAAGTGTTAATATATATACATAATAATAAACGAAAGCGGAAGTATGTTTATGGTCAAAACACTGAGCCTCTCTCATCTGGTATCTTAAGGGAGTGCTAACCTTCAGTCACATGAACATAAACAGCCAACCATCACATTATCAGCTGGCTGGTCTTCAGTTGAAGCAACAGAGATAAAATTTATGCCCAAATGAAAGGAGGAAATGGTCAACACTTAATTTGACATCAACACACCCCAAAACTTCAGGTTGACCTTCAGAGCCACAGTTAGCATGTACACAGAGAGGGCAGTGAAAGTTCCCTGTTCATCCAAGAGTGTTGTGTGATTAACCATAAAATCAACTATTAATAAGTATTATTACTGTTTTTTACAGTCATACTTGATTATTAACAAAGCCATAACATAAAAAAATCTGTAAAACTATAACAATTTCACAAAGACATTGTGCTGCCCATTTGGCACTGTAGTTTTATTTATTTATTTATTTATTTATTTATTTATTTATTTATTACTTACTTACTTACTTGCTTACTTACTTACTGGGATCTGAATCCTGATTGAATATTAAGTTTTGCTTTCTTTCTTCCCAGGTAATGTATTTGTGTTTGCGAAGAAATCTGTAACTGGCTTAATCAATCTGACCCTGACCTGCCTGGCCACAAGGCTTCTACCCCAAAGACGTGGAGATTAAACTGAGCAAGTTCACCACTTCACTGCCTGAACATCTACTAACATCTTCAGGAGTCAGACCCAATGATGATGGAACCTACCAGCTGAGGAAGAGTGTGGAGATCCAGGAGGACGAAGCAGCAGATTATGACTGTTATGTGACTCACAGCTCCATCAACACACCAGTAATTAAACAGTGGGGTGAGTATATCTGTGTTTTTAACATTGATTTTAGTTTACTGTATTTGACAGACACTCAGAACATTCATATCGAGTATGCTGTAACTAAGTTAATAGTACCAGCATGTATTCATGGCTAACACAGCCAACATGGGAACCACCAGAGCTGCTAGAGTCTCTAGAGCTCCATCTCTGTTGGCTGATCTGCACCGTTTTGACCACCATTGAGCTTCACGCTGTACCACGCTGTGCAAACCTCACCTGCATGATCTGACCCTCCTGCCGCTGCTGCTGCTGCATAAACTGAAACTTCCTAATTAACCATTGCTTCACCTGTTTTTTCCCGTTTTGTATTCTAATATTTTATACTAATGTTGTTTGCTATCCAGTCTTGACCAGAGGAGGATGGGTTCCCCTTTGGGTCTTGGTTCCTCTCAGTGTCTCAGAGTTTTTCCTTGCCACTCATGGGGGCTCGGACCTGGATTTTTCTGTAAAGCTGCTTTGTGACAACACGTGTTGTAAAAAGCGCTACATAAATAAACTTTGACTTGACTAACTGAGTTTAACATTTTCACTGGGATTCTTTTTTTCTCTTTGATTGAAGATGGGAAATACAACGACTGTACAAATGACAGCTCTCTGAGTTCAACACTCATAGTAGTGTTTTCAGTGATAGCTGTGGTCCTCTTGGTCACCCTGGTGATCTGTTTCCGCAAAAGGAATGGAATAATCTGTGAGTAGCGCTACATTACATCATTACATTACCTCATCTGACTGAAAGCATACTGAGCCCTGTCTTTGACCAAATTACTGCAACACCACATATACCTGAAATTGTGTTGGGTGTTTCAGTATATCTTTCCGTTAATTGCATTAATTCATTCTGTTTCACTGAACCACAAATATTCATACCAACATTCCAAAAAAACAGTGTAATGTACAGTATAGCTTACAACGTGTTTATTAATCTCGGCCACGTTTTCCAGGAAATGGAGTCAGTATGAAATAACAAATCGTGCCAGTGAAGGTATGTTGTATCTTCTACCTTGAAATAGTTAAGTAATTATGTGTGTGTGTGTGTGTGTGTGTATGTATGTATATATATATATATATATATATATATATATATATATATACACACACACACACACACACACACACACACACTGATCAGGCATAACATTCTGACCACCTCCTTGTTTCTACACTCATTGTCCATTTTATCAGCTCCACTTACTATATAGGAGCACTTTGTAGTTCTACAGTTACAGACTGTAGTCCATCTGTTTCTCTGATACTTTGTTAGCCCCCTTTTACCCTGTTCTTCAGTGGTCAGGACCCCCATGGACCCTCACAGAGCAGGTACTATTTGGGTGGTGGATCATTCTCAGCACTGCAGTAACACTGACGTGGTGGTGGTGTGTTAGTGTGTGTTGTGCTGGTCTGAGTGGATCAGATACAGCAGTGCTGCTGGAGTTTTTAAACGCTGTGTCCACTCACTGTCCACTCTATTAGACACTCCTACCTTGTCAGTCCACCTTGTAGATGTAAAGTCAGAGACGATAGCTCATCTGCTGCTGCACAGTTTGTGTTGGTCATCCTCTAGTCCTTCATCAGTGGTCACAGGACGCTGCCCACAGGACGCTGTTGGCTGGATATTTTTGGTTGGTGGACTATTCTCAGTCCAGCAGTGACACTGAGGTGTTTACAAACTCCAGCAGCACTGCTGAGTCTGATCCACTCACACCAGTAGGTGGGTCAGTAGGTGGAGCTGATTAAATGGACTGAGCGTAGAAACAAGGAGGTGGTCATAATGTTATGTCTGATCGGTGTATTGTGTGTGTGTGTGTGTATTATTATTATATACTTATTATTATTATTATTACTACTATTATACAACCCCATTTCCAAAAAAGTTAGGATGCTGTGTAAAATGTAAATAAATGTAAAAAAAACAGAATACAATGATTTGCAAATCTCATAGATCCATATTTAATTCACAGTAGAACATAGAGCACATATCAGACGTTGAAAATGAGACATTTTACCATTTCGTGAAAAACACTAACTCATTTAGAACTTGATGGCAGCAACACATCTTAAAGTTGGCACAGGGCCGCATGTAGCATCCATCTACCACTGTGTAGCATCCCCTCTTCTTTTAGCTACAGGAGAGGAATGTTGTCCCATTCCTGTCTGATGTAGGATTCTAAAAGTCGTGGGTCTTCTTTGCTGCATTTTTTGTTTCATGATGTGCCAAATGTTTTTTATTGGTGAAAGATCTGGACTGCAGGCAGGTCAGTTCAGCACCCAGACTCTTCTTCTGTGAAGCCATGCTGTTGTGATGGATGCAGTATGTGGTTTAGCATTCAATACTGACCGTCGGCCTTGTCCCTTGTATACAGGGATTTCTCCAGATCCTGTTGATATTATGTACTGTAGATGGTGGGAAATTCAAAGTCTTCGAAATATTACGTTGAATATTTTTCTGAAATTTTTCACAGATTGGTGAACCTCTGACCATCTTTACTTCTGAGAGACTGCCTCTCTAAAATGCCCTTTTTATATCCAGTCATGTGAGTTAGTTGCAAATTTCTCCTCTAGACGTTTTTTATTAGTACCACCTACTTTTCCAGCCTTTTGTTGCTCTTGTCCCAGCTTTTTTGAGATGTGTTGCTGCCATCAAATCCTAAATGAGTTAATGTTTTTTCATGAAATGGTAAAATGTCTCACTTTCAACATCTGATATGTGTTCTATGTTCTATTGTGAATGAAATATGTTGTATAACTAAAATTCAAATCCTCAGCCACATTTGGAAACACACTGCAGGAGTTAATGGTTTGTTTTCTTATTGCTGTGTTTTTTAATCTTCTCCTCTTCTACTGTTTTCCAGGTTATGGAGACATTAATGTAGCAGGAAATGGCATCAGTGAGGTGTCTCCCACCACTTAGCCACCTGTTTTCATCATGTGAACAAGTTATGAAGACCGTTATTTAAAACGTTTCAGCACTTCATGGTACATTTTAAATAAGTTAAATAAGGGAAAGTGATCATGTTGCTGCCTGGACTGGTGGCAGTATAGTGTTGCCTGCTGTGCTGAGCAGTGCCTTGGGCAGGGGAGGGCTGAGTGCCTTGCTCACGGACACAACCAGGGCTTCGTCATTTTTGTCACTGGGCTTTTAGCCCACGACCTTCTGGATCACCCCTCTTGCCACTAGAATACCATTTTCAGGATGTATAATAATTGTATTTGATATTGTCTCAAGATTTTTGAAGATCCCTTTTGATAAGCTGCGACTGACCTATTGCAAAGACCTACCTAGTTATTGCTGCTGTGCCCATCAGACTACCTGGTAGTGTCCATAACACTTTTACTAACAGACTAAGAAGTTCAGCATCACAAAGAAAAATATAGAAGCACACAGGAGGAGAACATCTGAAGCATTTTTCATCCCAAAATAAAACACTTTCAGACTGTTTAGTGCAGACAAATTTGTTTGACTGTTGACAAATTACGAATGTAGATCAATTTAAAGTGAATGAATCTGGATTCAGGAAACCATGTTTACGTTACATAAAGCACCAGCGTTAGATGCTGAGGAGGACTCATGGTCATTTATAGGAGGTCAGAGTTGAATGAAACTACACAAAGCATGGCTTTTGTACATTAGCATGGCACAAGTACATTAATATTTATTTTTATACTCATTTTTAATGCAAAGGCTTATGCTGCTGTTTAAACTTTATCAAGCTTCAGCAGCCAAGAAACAGTAACTAGTTAGCCAGCTAATCTTAATTAGTGATGGTGCATTGCAGAACACCATTGTTATTCAATGTATAACCTTTTCCTTATTATTCTTCTTCTTTTTCTTCTTAAGATATTCTTAGTGATTATATACAGCTTTTGATACAGTCTTCGTTAAATTACGTATTTTTTACCATGGGGTGCAGAAGTGGGACCCCTATCCACTGTACCTCTGCTCGACTCACATATATTATGTCAGGGGAGGACACAGAGCATGATTTCAGTGTTCTGACCTGCCCTCATCCGTTTGTCATTATTTTTCATCCCGCGCTCCTCCCATAGACTTCCGTTCATTTTTGCCCCCTCACAAGCCCAATTATTTCCCTGGCCTGACAGCCACCAAACTACATGTAATCATTGAGGGCAGGTCTCTAATCCACAGCCATACTGACCTGCACTCCTCTATGTGCCATTTTTTCATCCTTCTTTCCTCCCATTAACTCCCATTCATTGTTGCTTCTATCCAAGCCCTATTGTTACTTTGCCCGGCAGCCACCAAACTACACTATATTGCCAAAAGTATTCGCTCGTCTGCCTTCACACACATATGAACTTGAGTGACATCCCATTCTTAATCCATAGGGCTTAATATGATGTTGTCCCACCCTTTGCAGCTATAACAGCTTCAACTCTTCTGGGAAGGCTTTCCACAAGGTTTAGGAGTGTTTATGGGAATTTTTGACCATTCTTCCAGAAGCGCATTTGTGAGGTCAGACACTGATGTTGGACGAGAAGTTCTGGCTCGCAGTCGCCGCTATAATTCATCCCAAAGGCATTCTGTCGGGTTGAGGTCAGGACTCTGTGCAGGCCAGTCAAGTTCTTCCACACCAAACCCGCTCATCCATGTCTTTATGGACCTTGCTTTGTGCACTGGTGCGCACGGTACCACGCTGGAGTTCACTGAGCTCCTGAGAGCCCCATTCTTTCACTAATGTTTGTAGAAGCAGTCTGCAGGCCTGGGTGCTTGATTTTATACACCTGTGGCCATGGAAGTGATTGGAACACCTGAATTCAATGATTTGGATTATTTTGACATTATTTGGTGAGTGAATACTTTTGGCAATATAGTGTACATGTAATCATATAGGCCTGGTCCCCACTCTAATCCACAGTCATACTGACCGCACTCCTCTGTGTCGTTTTTTCATCCTTTGTTTTTCCTATAGACTTTTATTCAGTTCACACAACACCTTGCAACTACTTGGCAAAAGAAATAAGAAAACACTATGTACACCATGGCATCTTCTTGGCAACACCTTAACAACCAACCCCCTAAGCAACCGCCTAGTAACACCTTAACCACCGCCTCGCAAGAAGCTGCACAATCACTCTGCATTTTCTTCAGGAAATGCACTATTCTAGTGTTTTTCACTATTTATTAGACATCATATTAAAATGATCCTTAGCAAATACCGGTACCCAGATAAAGTTCAACTTACCTTAGAATCTGTTTAATTGTCTCTGTTAATACTTTTGACACTGAGCTATGAGTTTGGTCTTGAAGGTGTTATGTAACAATACGTATCACACATAAACTGAGATGAATAACAAACTAGGCAGCATTAAGATTTTCAACTCGAGATGAAAGGACAGTCATGTTGCCATTCCTGAAGGGGATAAATGCCCATCTACGTAGCAAATACAATAAGAGTTCTCTATGAAACAGGTCCATAGATAAACTGGCTATCGTTGCGTCCAAAACATTCATGAACCATATCGTGTGTACGTTGTCATAGCTATATTATATGGCTGCATTTGTGGTCTGGTGCTGCCCTCTGCTGGTCTTTTGTGTTTATTTATGATTGTTTACCTTGTGATCTGATATTTTGGAATTAAGGAGCAGCTTTAAGTATTAAACAGACCTGATGTTTTGTTAGTGGTTGGACTCTAACTGAAACTTGCACAATGATAGATTTTTGACAAATAGCTTTAACTATGAGTCACAATCATGTAGGGCTGCGTGATGATTATTTATTTTTTTAATGTTTTTTTCCTGTTTACTTGCTGAGGGAGGAAGACTGGTACAATCTGTATCTTATGTTTTTATTTTGAGCTACTAAAGGTATCCCATGGTGCTTTTTGGAGGTTTTGTTTATTTTTTACAGCTCACTTTGAAGCCACATTCTTGTGACTTTTACCTGCAATGCCTAAAAATACAAGCTACTTAATTTGAGTATCTGTTGTTCTGGTCTATTTGTTTTGTGTTGCTACCTCAAATCCCTTAACTAGAGCTTGGGAACTTTTAAACCTAATGAAAAGGGGTCGTAACACAAGTTGGGGATGAGTCAAACTTGTTTGTAAACACCTCAGTGTCACTGCTGGACTGAGAATAGTCCACCAACCAAAAGTATCCAGCCAACAGCGTCCTGTGGGCAGCGTCCTGTGACCACTGATAAAATTATTTCCATAAATAAATAAAAGTTCAGCAGTGTTGTGTCCATGTCTGCACACTGGGCTGCAGGACAAGTGAATGACCACCAGAGGGCTCTCTATGTGGACTGCTGAACTGCTGTTATGTGTGGTTGTCATAAAGAAAATGGTTCTATATAGAACCATGAACACTCCAAGAACACTTTGCATGACAAAATGGTTCTTCAGATTGATGGAGAGTGTGTTGCATATGGTTGTACATAGAACCTTTTTGAAAAGGGTTCTTAATAGCCCCAAAAAGGGTTCTTCTATTGTTTTGATGTCAAGCTTGTAACAATAAAAGAACCCTTTTTGGTGCTACCTTCTTAAAAAACTTGGTTCTTCAAGGGTTCTTTAGCAAAGGCCATGGTTATATATAGAACCATGGCCACTCAAAGAACCCTTTTCATGATTAAAGGGTTTTTACATCATGAAAAGTTCTTCAGATTGATGAAGAATGTGTTGCACACAGAATGTGTTCTACAGAACCTTTTTAAAAATGGTTCTACACAGCACCAAAAAGCGTTCTACTGTTGAATCTTTTTCAAAAATGTCTATGTAGAACCATATACAGCACATTCTTCAGCAACCTGAAGAACCCTTTCACAATGCACAAAACCCTTGAATCATGTAAAGGGTGATCTTTAAGTGTGTATATAGAACCATATACAGCACATTCTCCATCATGACATACTTTGCACAGTTTAATAGCTCTTCAGATTGGTTGAGAATGTCTTGTATGTGGTTCTATATAGCACCAAGAAGGGTTCTGCTATTGTAACGATGTCAAGCTTGTAACAATAGAAGAACCCTTTTGGTGCTATATAGAACCATACAGCACATTCTCCATCAATCTGAAGAGCTATTTCATGATGCAAAGAACGCTTTAATCATGTAAAGGGTTCCTTGCGTCTTCATGGTTCTATATAGAAGCTAGGGGTGGGAATCTCCAGACACCTTACGATTCGATTCAATTACGATTCAGAGGCTGCGATGCGATGCATTTTTATTTTCCTACTGTCTTCGTATTTGTAATGACCCATAATGCATTTACGTCCAATATCTTTTATTAATAAATCAAATGGAAGTGATGTGGCAAGTGAACTGGAAGATTATCATTCACCGCTGTTGTTTGGAGTGAATGAGACGCTGCTGCCACTCATCTGTGATAAAATGCGCAGTTCTCGGCTCCAAAGTATGCAACATAGAGCGAAAGACCTGGTTCGCAATGACTGAGAACATAGCAACGAAGTCTCGCCGAGCGAGTAGCGAACAGACGAACATTTGGAGACTAGTGGATTTATTCGCATTTATAAGCAGCACAGTGGCTTTCCTGGTACGTTAAATCTGCAACGAGACACTGTCACACACTAAAAAGTTGCGAAGATGAAGTCGCTTCTCTTTCTAATTTTCCCGTTCCACCTTAAATAGTGCCGCCTTTACAATCTGGCACCTCAGGCACCATTTAAGGTGGAATGGGAAAATCTGAACAAGAAGCTGGTGAACAAGAAGCAACTTAAGCCTCGTAAATCAGTCGAACGTTGAGGCACATTTTACAATAAGCTGCTCCACTTCTGAGGAAAAGTTTTCTGGCGGAGATGGGAGAAAAGCGGCTAAAGCTAAAGCAGAGCGAAGTAAATCTGTGTTTTTGTTTATATTGTTTAGTCTATACTAGGACATTATCACACACTGAGACATACTGGACATTAAATGTTGTGGCTCCCAAGCTGGTTTGAT